GACTCGTAGAGAAGAAGGCTTTCAATGTGTTAGAAACTTGCTGAAAAGTTTAAGATTTCATCTGCGGACAGGGGCGGATTTAGCGAGGCGGGGGGACGTCCCTTCCCCCTCAGGGATTCGACCCCAACACCAACCAAAGGGTCCTTCTTTGGTATTTGTTTATGACATCCTTTTTTGACCAACCTACCCTAAAAATTTCTAATGGCGCGTTTGGTGCCGAGATATGCTAATTTTAAATTGAAAAAAAAATTCACTATTTTTGGCAAAGTTTTTCAAAAATTGTCAATTTTGACTTGTTTTTTCAAAAATTTCGAAATCATTTTGGTCGAACTGAACAAAAAAAAACCACAAAAACTTCGAGTTTTTTTTGAAATCCGCTCCCAAGGAGAAAATGCATCTTCAAACGAGATTTGCATCTTAACAGCATTCTTCTTCAATTTTCTGACGAGAAAAAAATCTCCTAATTTGTTGGCAGAGCATATTAAAGTAATTTGAACACTTATTCAAAGTGATGTGTAATTGTTTTTTAAGATATTGAAGTTTTTAGATCAAAAATCAATGTTAACCAGAAGACTTCATTTATACATTTATTTAAGAAAACTTCGTTTGAACGCACTTCAATTAAGTAGACTTCATTTAAACGCATTTGAACTTTAAACCGCCTCGATTTGTTTTTTTTTTCAAACGCAGCGAAATAGGAAGAAAAATGCTTTCGCGCTCATTAGTGAAAAATATCAAAAACCTGACTGCAATGAAGAAATTTTTTTATCTATACATCAGAAAGAAAACCACACAACGAAATCTTTAACACGGTCGTTAAATATTAAAAATTAACTTCCTCAACCAAATTTTTTTCATGGAATTCCTTTATTGGAAACTATGAGAAGCGGCTAGCCACGCCCATACCATACATTAGACAAGTGAAATGTATCGGCCATTTTATCAGAACAGAATAAACAAAATAACGGGACAAAGAAATTGCAATTTTTCATTTTCAACTAGAAAAAATTTTAAAAACATATTCTTTTTCTTTTTCGAAATTATTCTCAATAACTATGCTAGAAACAGGATTGAAATGTGACACCTGGTTTTTTAATGTATTTCACAGGTTTTAATTGACCACAAAATCTAAAAGAAAAATTTTTAAAGGCATTGGTTGACCAATCATAACTATTCGGAAAATTTTTTTTTGTCGTCGATTAATCTTCAGAAACAGTCCCCTGAAACTGTACTTATTGATGAAAAGTTGTTGCTTTAAGCTGATGAACTTGGTACTCTCTCTATTGCGCGGGGGAAACTAGTGTTTATTGACTGATCAATCAACGCTGTCATCCGGCCGGATTGGCATCATGATAGTGATGAACACATATACATATTTATAACTTCTTATTTAATTCATATTACAAATCAACATGCCTTGAAGAGCTACGACCGGTCCGTACGACTAAGAGCACAGCGTGTGCAGAGTTCAGAAAAGAAATTAAATTTCAGTTGAAACTCTAATTTCTTATTGAGCTACCACTTTAGCCGCCAATCCGTACGGATTCCATAAAGATCATATTACACGTTATGACATGACACCAGAATATGAAAACCCGCTGAGCATCCCACCATTCTGGCAGAAGGCAACGGCAGAACCGCCTATGGAATGAGAAAAATGGACAGCCATGATGGAGATGGCCGTCCTGGCTAAAGACGGTTTTGAGGTGCGCACTCTGCTGCGTGTAAAACCACTCGTCATACTACCAAGGGAACCAATTTATGAACTGGAAATTACCGGTGAAACCAAGGCGAAAAAACGGAACCCAGACATACGAAACCAAGAGAAAAAAGAGTTCGTGAACGAGGACCTTTTTGCAACAATTTCTCTTGGGACGAAGCAGATGCAAAGGTGAGAAATTCTATCTTCTTATGTTTAGGGGCAGAAAGTCAAAGCCAGCTACAACAAAAACGCCTGGATTCGAGATACATACAATATCAACTAATGAGTTGTCACTAGGAGGATAATTGCTTTCGAAAGATACAATTTCATCTGCCGGAAACAACGGAAGATTAATAAATCCTTAACACAATTCCATGCTGATTTTGGCTCTATTGTAAGAACGGTAAAGCCTTTTTGTGAAAACGGTAAAGAGGGATCCAACAGTAAAACTAGCATTGCACTCGAAAAAGATAAATAAATTTATCCACGAGAACAAATACCAAATGCCCAATATTGAATTACTACTTGACAACATTGCGCTAACCCTAAAAACGAAAGAAAACGAACCGACGTTATTCTCAACACTCGACCATAGATACGCATAGTCACAAATCCCACTGGACTGTGGGACCAGAAAACAATGTAATTTCAGTCGAATCGGAGAACGTAACACTGGAACCTACCAATTCCAAACGGAATTTTATGGTCTCATGGATATGCCTGCCGAATTCCAAAACGCAATAAACCTTACATTAACCAATTGCGAAAACACATTCGCTTATTTAGATGATATCCAAATAGTTACTAAGGGTTCGAAAGAAGACAACAAAAATAACATTTAAACAACGAAAACTTGGCAATTTCAATAGAAAAAGCAAATTAGCTTGCAAACAGAAAAAGCAATTAGCACCGAATGGCTTGGATACCATATTAAAAGCGAGGGTAGAAAGCTATTGAATCGGAAAACCGCCGCAATAGCTAAACTCACACCCCCTAAAAGTTTCAAGCAGCTAAAAAAATTTATGGGTTAAATACATCATCTTACGAGGTATTTACCAAAGTTAGCGAAAATGGCTTCATCACTTAAACCATTATTTAAAAAAACACGGATAAACCAAGTGCCTCAAGAGAAACACAAGCCGCGGTCAAGGTGGTCGACCACGTATCACCGACCGACAATCCGATAAACGAAGCGATAACGATAAATGAAAAGAACTTTGACTTTGCGAAAGGATCCAGTACACCGGTGATCACCGAACAGGCTAACACTATCGAAGAACATAAAGAGCAAGGCGATGAGGAAGATGTGAACGATGAACCAATCATTAGCACCAGAAACGGAAATGACAGAACGGATCAAATATCCGAAGAAGTACAGGAGCGCAAAAGGAAGTTGATGAATCAAAAAACCCAAAAGGGACGCAAAAACTCTTAACAAAACTCAACAAGTCCCACAGGGACTAAGAACTCCAACCATTTCATTTTTGGTCAGAAGCGAAAATGTTCTCCGGCAAGATTGGCATCATGATAGTGAAATACATATTTACATAGTTAAAACTCTTCATATAATTTATATTACAGGTCAGAAAACACACAATAGCAACTAATGAGTATGGGCTCGTGTGCAGGTGGTCGGATTGGAGGGAAAAAGCCAGATGATTTAAAGCTAATTCCGAAATGCAGCGCTCCGACCAGTCCGTACGACTAAGAGCACGGTGTGTGCAGGGTTGAGAAAACAGATTATACTCACACCCCGAGAAGTTTCACTTAAACTTCTATTTTCTTATTGAGTTACCACTTTATCCGCCAATCCGTACAGATTCAGTAAAGATCATAATGCACGGTATGACAAACGCCTTTCTATTTTATTTGTTTTGGTCTGGTTGGATCAATAATTTTATCAAAACAAATGTCATAATTTCAACCCCGTGTCCCCAGAATTGGCACTGAAAACGTCAAAAGCGTAAGAATTGTCAAAAATCAAAACTGATCTTGTTTTGAGCTCCGAAATACCTCGCGGTGGGCCATCCGAGCATTGTTCTACGATACATCTTTCAGAAAAAAGTCGTGCGAACCCAGCCCTTTTGAACTTAACATTAAATTTTCAAAACACTCCGTCTTTCTTTATTTTTATTTTATTTTTTGTAAAATTGACTAGATAAAAAAGTCAAATAACTGCGAGAAGATCTATAAAAAATACTGATCTTCAATACTAAAACTTTTCCAGTAACTCTGTAGGATCTCGATCTTTTGAGACCTAAGAAATAAGAGCAAGATACAGATCATTGTTGGACTAACAAGTTTCACGAGCCCATCCGGCCGACAGTAGATAGCGTGACAAACAGACGGTGTACCCTATCTAAAATTAGTCTATGAGATCTACTCTTCGTGGATAGCTGGTCACTGATCAAGGCCTGAGACAGCTATGATAACAGTTTGCATAGCAAAACGTCTAAGTTTTTGTTTATTTGACTGGAAAGCTACAGACTGCTGAATTAAGACCCGTTGAGAGCTTTAATTTTTCAAAAAAAAATGCAAACACCAGCTCCGAGTAAAAGATAGTTGGTTCTTCCCCCCTCCACTTTATGGTTTAACAAAGATTTGCCAAAACCAAGTGTGAAGCCTAAATAATTTTATCATGGCTTAATTTATCTATATGTCAATTTTCATAACAATCGACCAGTGCTAACAATCATTTTATTTAGAAAAAATTGCAGGTGGTCGGATTGGAGGGAAAAAAGTCAGATGATTTAAAGCTAATTCCGAAATGCAGTGCTGTTTTAGAGTTTGTTCCTTCCTGATCATGGCTAGTTATTGCGACTGATAACAACCTGAAACTGTGATGACTACTATCACTGCGACGTCAACCCGGGATCATAGTTAGAGCAAACCTTGTTAACAGCAGCGTCCCTCAACTCCGTGAAATAATTTTGCGCATGTTCCAACAGGTCACGTGGTCTACTGCGCATCACGCTGAGAGAGAAGTTGACCAGCAAGTCCTTCAGTCCCGCCGGTACATCCTCCCTCTCTGCTCCTCCCCCACCCCCTCCAACTATCGCCTCGATCCTCTCTTGGAGTCCCAATTTAAAGCCTAAACGGAAGTTTTGAAGAACTACATTAATTAATTACAACAATAAAATAAGACAATGGTATCAAAATGCAACCATATGCAACTTTACAACCATGCTAAATCGTGTTTGTTTTTCAAGTGCATTTTGAATTATCTTAAGAACTTTTTTAACCATCGACTAAGGAAGTTTTTTGCAGTTGTTATTTAAAAAATAAAGTACATTATTGACCATGGCTCATTATTTTATTTTAAAAGTGTAAAATTGAAGCTCAAAATTACCTGTTGTATTATCTGCCTCATTTGTCGTCGGTAACTTATTGTCTTGATCAGACTGATTGTTTTCGTCTTTGTTTGAAGCGCTTGAAGACTGCATAAATGCACTGTCAGTTTCAGAATCCATCTCACATTCAACTTCTCTAATGCTTTCGCCGACTTCTGAAACAAATGAACAAGGTTCCGATTGGAAGGCTGCCGATTCGAGACCCGCCAGGATTCTTCTATTTCAACAAAAAAGCTCCCCATTTCTTTGAAATTAGCCAGAAATAGTTTTCCGGTAATATCATCCTAGCAAACAAAATTAGAGAATGGTCAACAAAATTTTCTAGACAGTGTTTTTTTTCTAAATTTTGTCATTTTTTCAGAGGATTTGGGGCTAATTTAAGCTTTCAGAATTAGTCATTAACAAATGAACAAGACTGCTCATATATCAAGGTTGCCCTTTAACTGGCAGCCTTGATATATGAGCAGTCTTGTTTAACTGCCCTTTAACTGCCCTTTAACCCATATCGAATAGTTTTTGGAGAAAAGAAAGTATTGAAAAACTATAAATTTTGTACTAAATCAAAGATCAAATGTTAAAATTAATACGACCAATTAGCTAGCCTGTTTTCAATTTAGAACAATTTTGTTGTGCGGGATAATTCGCCACACTTAAATATTTCGCATAACGTTTTCAAGTTTACAAATAAAAATTTTCAAAGTGCGCATAAAATAGTCCAGAGCATGACCGAATTGGCAATTTTCAAAATCCCAAAATTTTTTAAAAAAATTATCCTATTAAACCTGATTTTGGAGATTCAATATCTTCAATGGAGCCGAATAAATTTTTGGTCAAAAGCTATTATTTCGACTGAAAATTGACTATACATAAAACCATATCCCAAGCACAACTATTCCGTCTTCTTCGAAAGTTGAAATAATTGTAAGTGATCCGTTTTCTGACTGAATTCTGTCAACCGCGAAAATTGAATCAACAGCTCTACGCTCTACTCTGGTAAGAAATATGAGAACATTAAGACTTTTCTCAAAACTGAATTAAACTTCCAGGACTATTAAACAGTTATACAGCTCGAATTATGTGGAAAATTACACTTTTATAGTATGTCATTTGATTATACTTGAGATTTATTTGTTGTAGGATTAGGATTCTAATATTTTCCCGGCAATCTAATCATGTACAATTCAGATCATGCGATTCAGATCATGTACAACTTGTTTCAGAGAGATGAAATAAGTAAAACACAATTTAGCTCACGATGAATTTCCCTACGAAAATTTTTTTTCGGGAAAACCTGCCCAAGATATAGCCATTTTGTGCCAATGAGTCAAATATTTATATCAACAACATGTTCACACGTTTTTTTGCGGCTTATCGGATTTTCGAAGAGTTTTGCGCTGAACAAGCTACTATAAAGTTGAATTAAAACAGCAAGATAACGTGAACTAAAAAGATAATTTTGATAATTTTAAACCTGTTTTTCTAAGATTCAGTTGTAATTGGCCAAAATCTGAGTTTTACCAGTTCTTTTATTGTGCAATTTTCATTGCAAGATTTCGAACCAAAATTACACCCTTAAAATGGCTCTTTTCATTTTGTTCAAGTTTGCGGAGGTACACAAGGTAAATTGAAGTTATTCTTATATCAAATGACCCTGGGTACTTACTCAATTTTGAACAAATTGAAATGACCTGTTTTAAGGGTGTAGTTTTGGCTCGAAATCTTGCAATAAAAATTGCAACATAAAAAAGCTGGTGAAATTCCAAGCAATTCTTGTCTTGATAGTTTTTGGCCAAATACTACTGATGAGATAAGCGAGCTCAAAAATATCAAAAACATCTACTTAGTTTATTTTATCCGGTTGTTTTACTTCAGCACTATAGCAGCATGTTCAGCAAAAAATTCCTTGAAAAACGCAAAAAAAAACGTGTGAATATGTTGTTGATAAAAATATTCGACTCATTGGCACAAAATGGCTATTTCTTGGGCAGTTTTTTCTGAAAAATGTTTTTTTTTCGTAGAGGAATTCTTCGTGAAACTAATTTGTGTATTACATATTACATCTATCTGAAACACCCTGTGGATGATATGGTCTTTGCATAGCCAGAGTTTTTCCTTACTGTATTGTTAAAAGCACTCGCGGATAACAATACCAATCAGTTCAAGTGAAAAAATTCCAACTATTGCCAGTCCGGGTTGACCAAAATTTTGTATCGCACCTTTTTTATATATGAAAAAAAACTTCTTAACATACAGATCCATATGTCCAGCAATTTGTATCCTATATCTATGACAACCATTTTTCCATATATGAAAATTGTAAGACAAGCATTTTTCCATAAACCAAAAAAAAACTTTTTTACTGTTTTTTTCTTTAAATTCTGAAAACTTTTGGGTTATGTTTGTAACCGAATACAAGTCATAAAAGGTTGAACGGAAATGACTTGAATTATTTAAGAGTTTTCCTACACAAATGATATAATTCAAGTAATATTTTTATTCGGCGGACTCCACAACAAGGCCTTTTAGCGACAATTTGTTATAATGCGCTGCATTTTTCGAACATTAAGCTTGTTTTTTGGTATACCAAAAAAACTTTTAAAAACACGTTATACACACAAAAAAATTAATTTTTGAATGCAAATTTCTAATTTTTGCATGGAAAAAGTTTGTTTGAGTAAAAATTCCTTATTAACAGAAAACTTTATTATTAGCTTTTTTAAAAGTTCCTTTTTTATATATGACGATACACCAATTTATATGCTAAAACAAGCAAAAAATATCTGCAAAAATTTGATGGCTCCATTTTGGCAAAATGTATGAAAATTGTATGATTAGTATTTTTTGTAGACTTAGTGTATGGAATTGTATTCAGGGGCGAATCTAGGATTTCACGAGGGGGGGGGGCAGATTTTCATTTAAAAAAACCGAAAAATTTGCCGGCATTTTTTTTCTGTAGGTCTTGCTAATTGGTTCTCTGAGCTATCCCAAAGCAAAAAAGACCCTGTTTAGGCCAAATTTTCTGCGCCTTAAGCACAATTTTGAAAAACAGGCCAAAAAAGGCATTTTTAGGCACTTTTTGGAAAACTTTTACCAGAAAATCGCGTTTTTTAGGCGCTCGCTTCCCCCTCAAAACTAGTAAATATTGGCGCCGTATGCGCCGTTAGGAAAACTTTAGGGTCAGCCAGCTAAAAATGAATATCTTAAAGTAGTACAAAGGGGGGACCTAAGTCAAATGGTGATTTTATGACAAGCATTTTCTGTCTATGAAGGACAAATATTTGCAGCCCAAATATTTCGGCCCTGAAAGACAAGTATTTGCAAGATGTCTGGAAATCATGACTAAAAACGATTGGATGTTTCAAATGAGTGTCAATAGTTTTCCGAGTGAATGCAGATGTCTAGATGATTCCGATTATTAATAACAAATTGCGAAGCAAATAGTTTTATGAAGATGTGTGAGCAATCATCAAGTCAGACTCAGACAAGTGAAAGAAGAAATAACATATGGAGTCAAACTGAGACGAAAGATGGATTCGACCATGAAGCGAGATTTACTAGAAACATATAACATGGGAGATTTGAGATAGCCAGTATGTGATAGATTAGGTTAGGCAGGGGCGGTTCTAGGATTTTCTCGAGGGGGGATGTTCAAACAAATTTCAAAAATTTTGTCGACCTTTTTTCTAAGTCGACCAAATTGATTTTCCGAGCACTGCAAGAACACTATGAAGACCCTATTTTGACCAAAAAGTTTGCGCCGCTTGCAAACTTTTGAAAAAACAGGTTAAAAAACCGTTTTGGGCACTTGACCTAAATTTGACCAAAAAATTGCAAATTTTCGACGCGGACTCCCCTTCAAAACAAGAGCTTATATGGGCGCCAAAAGCGGCTTTAGTAAAATTTTAGGGTTGGTTGGCCTAAAATGGATTTCAAAAAAATATTACCAAAGGGGATGTCATAAAATATTACCTTAAATAAAATTTTAGGGTTGGTCCTCCTTAAATGGATGTCATAAAATATTACCTTTGGTTGGTGAGGGGGACGAATCTCTGAAAAAAACGTCCATAAAACACTCCCCCCCCCTCCCCTAAATCCGCCCCTATGGTTAGGTGACATAAAGTTTCTTGTGATCAAAAGTAGCACTGTTAAATTGATTCTAATCCCAGGAAAAAATCATTGCGTTTTGACAGTGGCCATCAAAAAAAAGAGGTAGTTTAGAGAATAATTTTGCGCTAATTGATCCTTAACAAGCTTATCAAGTCGATATTTTTTTAAGAAAAACCTTTGAGTCGTATAAGGAAATGATAATACCCTTATTTGCCTCATTTCAGTTGGATCAATTTTTTGCGCGGGATAATACGTCAATCAAGAATACTTGGTGTTTAAGGAAAAATTTCAAGTTTTTTTCAATTTGAGCTCAGAGAGTCAAAAACTAAAAAAAAAGAAACAAACTTTTAAATCATGAAAATTATATTCGTCTGAATACAAAAATCCCGAGCTAAACATTTCGTCATTTTGTTTGCAAAAAGTATAAAATTTTAGTGCTCGGCGTGCTTTTTTTAAGGCTGTCAACGAAAATTCAACTTTCCTTTTTATACAAACTGTTTAATAATGATCTGATAAGTTTTGACAAGCTTGATATCAAGCAGAACCGCCTATGGAATGAGAAAAATGGACAGCCATGATGGAGATGGCCGTCCTGGCTAAAGACGGTTTTGAGGTGCGCACTCTGCTGCGTGTAAAACCACTCGTCATACAACCAAGGGAACCAATTTATGAACTGGAAATTACCGGTGAAACCAAGGCGAAAAAACGGAACCCAGACATACGAAACCAAGAGAAAAAAGAGTTCGTGAACGAGGACCTTTTTGCAACAATTTCTCTTGGGACGAAGCAGATGCAAAGGTGAGAAATTCTATCTTCTTATGTTTAGGGGCAGAAAGTCAAAGCCAGCTACAACAAAAACGCCTGGATTCGAGATACATACAATATCAACTAATGAGTTGTCACTAGGAGGATAATTGCTTTCGAAAGATACAATTTCATCTGCCGGAAACAACGGAAGATTAATAAATCCTTAACACAATTCCATGCTGATTTTGGCTCTATTGTAAGAACGGTAAAGCCTTTTTGTGAAAACGGTAAAGAGGGATCAAACAGTAAAACTAGCATTGAACTCGAAAAAGATAAATAAATTTATCCACGAGAACAAATACCAAATGCCCAATATTGAATTACTACTTGACAACATTGCGCTAACCCTAAAAACGAAAGAAAACGAACCGACGTTATTCTCAACACTCGACCATAGATACGCATAGTCACAAATCCCACTGGACTGTGGGACCAGAAAACAATGTAATTTCAGTCTAATCGGAGAACGTAACACTGGAACCTACCAATTCCAAACGGAATTTTATGGTCTCATGGATATGCCTGCCGAATTCCAAAACGCAATAAACCTTACATTAACCAATTGCGAAAACACATTCGCTTATTTAGATGATATCCAAATAGTTACTAAGGGTTCGAAAGAAGACAACAAAAATAACATTTAAACAACGAAAACTTGGCAATTTCAATAGAAAAAGCAAATTAGCTTGCAAACAGAAAAAGCAATTAGCACCGAATGGCTTGGATACCATATTAAAAGCGAGGGTAGAAAGCTATTGAATCGGAAAACCGCCGCAATAGCTAAACTCACACCCCCTAAAAGTTTCAAGCAGCTAAAAAAATTTATGGGTTAAATACATCATCTTACGAGGTATTTACCAAAGTTAGCGAAAATGGCTTCATCACTTAAACCATTATTTAAAAAAACACGGATAAACCAAGTGCCTCAAGAGAAACACAAGCCGCGGTCAAGGTGGTCGACCACGTATCACCGACCGACAATCCGATAAACGAAGCGATAACGATAAATGAAAAGAACTTTGACTTTGCGAAAGGATCCAGTACACCGGTGATCACCGAACAGGCTAACACTATCGAAGAACATAAAGAGCAAGGAGATGAGGAAGATGTGAACGATGAACCAATCATTAGCACCAGAAACGGAAATGACAGAACGGATCAAATATCCGAAGAAATACAGGAGCGCAAAAGGAAGTTGATGAATCAAAAAAACCAAAAGGGACGCAAAAACTCTTAACAAAACTCAACAAGTCCCACAGGGACTAAGAACTCCAACCATTTCATTTTTGGTCAGAAGCGAAAATGTTCTCCGGCAAGATTGGCATCATGATAGTGAAATACATATTTACATATTTAAAACTCTTCATATAATTTATATTACAGGTCAGAAAACACACAATAGCAACTAATGAGTATGGGCTCGTGTGCAGGTGGTCGGATTGGAGGGAAAAAGCCAGATGATTTAAAGCTAATTCCGAAATGCAGCGCTCCGACCAGTCCGTACGACTAAGAGCACGGTGTGTGCAGGGTTGAGAAAACAGATTATACTCACACCCCGAGAAGTTTCACTTAAACTTCTATTTTCTTATTGAGTTACCACTTTATCCGCCAATCCGTACAGATTCAGTAAAGATCATAATGCACGGTATGACAAACGCCTTTCTATTTTATTTGTTTTGGTCTGGTTGGATCAATAATTTTATCAAAAAAAATGTCATAATTTCAACCCCGTATCCCCAGAATTGGCACTGAAAACGTCAAAAGCGTAAGAATTGTCAAAAATCAAAACTGATCTTGTTTTGAGCTCCGAAATACCTCGCGGTGGGCCATCCGAGCATTGTTCTACGATACATCTTTCAGAAAAAAGTCGTGCGAACCCAGCCCTTTTGAACTTAACATTAAATTTTCAAAACACTCCGTCTTTCTTTATTTTTATTTTATTTTTTGTAAAATTGACTAGATAAAAAAGTCAAATAACTGCGAGAAGATCTATAAAAAATACTGATCTTCAATACTAAAACTTTTCCAGTAACTCTGTAGGATCTCGATCTTTTGAGACCTAAGAAATAAGAGCAAGATACAGATCATTGTTGGACTAACAAGTTTCACGAGCCCATCCGGCCGACAGTAGATAGCGTGACAAACAGACGGTGTACTCTATCTAAAATTAGTCTATGAGATCTACTCTTCGTGGATAGCTGGTCACTGATCAAGGCCTGAGACAGCTATGATAACAGTTTGCATAGCAAAACGTCTAAGTTTTTGTTTATTTGACTGGAAAGCTACAGACTGCTGAATTAAGACCCGTTGAGAGCTTTAATTTTTCAAAAAAAAATGCAAACACCAGCTCCGAGTAAAAGATAGTTGGTTCTTCCCCCCTCCACTTTATGGTTTAACAAAGATTTGCCAAAACCAAGTGTGAAGCCTAAATAATTTTATCATGGCTTAATTTATCTATATGTCAATTTTCATAACAATCGACCAGTGCTAACAATCATTTTATTTAGAAAAAATTGCAGGTGGTCGGATTGGAGGGAAAAAAGTCAGATGATTTAAAGCTAATTCCGAAATGCAGTGCTGTTTTAGAGTTTGTTCCTTCCTGATCATGGCTAGTTATTGCGACTGATAACAACCTGAAACTGTGATGACTACTATCACTGCGACGTCAACCCGGGATCATAGTTAGAGCAAACCTTGTTAACAGCAGCGTCCCTCAACTCCGTGAAATAATTTTGCGCATGTTCCAACAGGTCACGTGGTCTACTGCGCATCACGCTGAGAGAGAAGTTGACCAGCAAGTCCTTCAGTCCCGCCGGTACATCCTCCCCCTCTGCTCCTCCCCCACCCCCTCCAACTATCGCCTCGATCCTCTCTTGGAGTCCCAATTTAAAGCCTAAACGGAAGTTTTGAAGAACTACATTAATTAATTACAACAATAAAATAAGACAATGGTATCAAAATGCAACCATATGCAACTTTACAACCATGCTAAATCGTGTTTGTTTTTCAAGTGCATTTTGAATTATCTTAAGAACTTTTTTAACCATCGACTAAGGAAGTTTTTTGCAGTTGTTATTTAAAAAATAAAGTACATTATTGACCATGGCTCATTATTTTATTTTAAAAGTGTAAAATTGAAGCTCAAAATTACCTGTTGTATTATCTGCCTCATTTGTCGTCGGTAACTTATTGTCTTGATCAGACTGATTGTTTTCGTCTTTGTTTGAAGCGCTTGAAGACTGCATAAATGCACTGTCAATTTCAGAATCCATCTCACATTCAACTTCTCTAATGCTTTCGCCGACTTCTGAAACAAATGAACAAGGTTCCGATTGGAAGGCTGCCGATTCGAGACCCGCCAGGATTCTTCTATTTCAACAAAAAAGCTCCCCATTTCTTTGAAATTAGCCAGAAATAGTTTTCCGGTAATATCATCCTAGCAAACAAAATTAGAGAATGGTCAACAAAATTTTCTAGACAGTGTTTTTTTTCTAAATTTTGTCATTTTTTCAGAGGATTTGGGGCTAATTTAAGCTTTCAGAATTAGTCATTAACAAATGAACAAGACTGCTCATATATCAAGGTTGCCCTTTAACTGGCAGCCTTGATATATGAGCAGTCTTGTTTAACTGCCCTTTAACTGCCCTTTAACCCATATCGAATAGTTTTTGGAGAAAAGAAAGTATTGAAAAACTATAAATTTTGTACTAAATCAAAGATCAAATGTTAAAATTAATACGACCAATTAGCTAGCCTGTTTTCAATTTAGAACAATTTTGTTGTGCGGGATAATTTGCCACACTTAAATATTTCGCATATTGTTTTCAAGTTTACAAATAAAAATTTTCAAAGTGCGCATAAAATAGTCCAGAGCATGACCGAATTGGCAATTTTCAAAATCCCAAAATTTTTTTAAAAAATTATCCTATTAAACCTGATTTTGGAGATTCAATATCTTCAATGGAGCCGAATAAATTTTTTGTCAAAAGCTATTATTTCGACTGAAAATTGACTATACATAAAACCATATCCCAAGCACAACTATTCCGTCTTCTTCGAAAGTTGAAATAATTGTAAGTGATCCGTTTTCTGACTGAATTCTGTCAACCGCGAAAATTGAATCAACAGCTCTACGCTCTACTCTGGTAAGAAATATGAGAACATTAAGACTTTTCTCAAAACTGAATTAAACTTCCAGGACTATTAAACAGTTATACAGCTCGAATTATGTGGAAAATTACACTTTTATAGTATGTCATTTGATTATACTTGAGATTTATTTGTTGTAGGATTAGGATTCTAATATTTTCCCGGCAATCTAATCATGTACAATTCAGATCATGCGATTCAGATCATGTACAACTTGTTTCAGAGAGATGAAATAAGTAAAACACAATTTAGCTCACGATGAATTTCCCTACGAAAATTTTTTTTCGGGAAAACCTGCCCAAGATATAGCCATTTTGTGCCAATGAGTCAAATATTTATATCAACAACATGTTCACACGTTTTTTTGCGGCTTATCGGATTTTCGAAGAGTTTTGCGCTGAACAAGCTACTATAAAGTTGAATTAAAACAGCAAGATAACGTGAACTAAAAAGATAATTTTGATAATTTTAAACCTGTTTTTCTAAGATTCAGTTGTAATTGGCCAAAATCTGAGTTTTACCAGTTCTTTTATCGTGCAATTTTCATTGCAAGATTTCGAACCAAAATTACACCCTTAAAATGGCTCTTTTCATTTTGTTCAAGTTTGCGGAGGTACACAAGGTAAATTGAAGTTATTCTTATATCAAATGACCCTGGGTACTTACTCAATTTTGAACAAATTGAAATGACCTGTTTTAAGGGTGTAGTTTTGGCTCGAAATCTTGCAATAAAAATTGCAACATAAAAAAGCTGGTGAAATTCCAAGCAATTCTTGTCTTGATAGTTTTTGGCCAAATACTACTGATGAGATAAGCGAGCTCAAAAATATCAAAAACATCTACTTAGTTTATTTTATCCGGTTGTTTTACTTCAGCACTATAGCAGCATGTTCAGCAAAAAATTCCTTGAAAAACGCAAAAAAAACGTGTGAATATTCGACTCATTGGCACAAAATGGCTATTTCTTGGGCAGTTTTTTCTGAAAAATGTTTTTTTTTCGTAGAGGAATTCTTCGTGAAACTAATTTGTGTATTACATATTACATCTATCTGAAACACCCTGTGGATGATATGGTCTTTGCATAGCCAGAGTTTTTCCTTACTGTATTGTTAAAAGCACTCGCGGATAACAATACCAATCAGTTCAAGTGAAAAAATTCCAACTATTGCCAGTCCGGGTTGACCAAAATTTTGTATCGCACCTTTTTTATATATGAAAAAAAACTTCTTAACATACAGATCCATATGTCCAGCAATTTGTATCCTATATCTATGACAACCATTTTTCCATATATGAAAATTGTAAGACAAGCATTTTTCCATAAACCAAAAAAAAACTTTTTTACTGTTTTTTTCTTTAAATTCTGAAAACTTTTGGGTTATGTTTGTAACCGAATACAAGTCATAAAAGGTTGAACGGAAATGACTTGAATTATTTAAGAGTTTTCCTACACAAATGATATAATTCAAGTAATATTTTTATTCGGCGGACTCCACAACAAGGCCTTTTAGCGACAATTTGTTATAATGCGCTGCATTTTTCGAACATTAAGCTTGTTTTTTGGTATACCAAAAAAACTTTTAAAAACACGTTATACACACAAAAAAATTAATTTTTGAATGCAAATTTCTAATTTTTGCATGGAAAAAGTTTGTTTGAGTAAAAATTCCTTATTAACAGAAAACTTTATTATTAGCTTTTTTAAAAGTTCCTTTTTTATATATGACGATACACCAATTTATATGCTAAAACAAGCAAAAAATATCTGCAAAAATTTGATGGCTCCATTTTGGCAAAATGTATGAAAATTGTATGATTAGTATTTTTTGTAGACTTAGTGTATGGAATTGTATTCAGGGGCGAATCTAGGATTTCACGAGGGGGGGGGCAGATTTTCATTTAAAAAAACCGAAAAATTTGCCGGCATTTTTTTTCTGTAGGTCTTGCTAATTGGTTCTCTGAGCTATCCCAAAGCAAAAAAGACCCTGTTTAGGCCAAATTTTCTGCGCCTTAAGCACAATTTTGAAAAACAGGCCAAAAAAGGCATTTTTAGGCACTTTTTGGAAAACTTTTACCAGAAAATCGCGTTTTTTAGGCGCTCGCTTCCCCCTCAAAACTAGTAAATATTGGCGCCGTATGCGCCGTTAGGAAAACTTTAGGGTCAGCCAGCTAAAAATGAATATCTTAAAGTAGTACAAAGGGGGGACCTAAGTCAAATGGTGATTTTATGACAAGCATTTTCTGTCTATGAAGGACAAATATTTGCAGCCCAAATATTTCGGCCCTGAAAGACAAGTATTTGCAAGATGTCTGGAAATCATGACTAAAAACGATTGGATGTTTCAAATGAGTGTCAATAGTTTTCCGAGTGAATGCAGATGTCTAGATGATTCCGATTATTAATAACAAATTGCGAAGCAAATAGTTTTATGAAGATGTGTGAGCAATCATCAAGTCAGACTCAGACAAGTGAAAGAAGAAATAACATATGGAGTCAAACTGAGACGAAAGATGGATTCGACCATGAAGCGAGATTTACTAGAAACATATAACATGGGAGATTTGAGATAGCCAGTATGTGATAGATTAGGTTAGGCAGGGGCGGTTCTAGGATTTTCTCGAGGGGGGATGTTCAAACAAATTTCAAAAATTTTGTCGACCTTTTTTCTAAGTCGACCAAATTGATTTTCCGAGCACTGCAAGAACACTATGAAGACCCTATTTTGACCAAAAAGTTTGCGCCGCTTGCAAACTTTTGAAAAAACAGGTTAAAAAACCGTTTTGGGCACTTGACCTAAATTTGACCAAAAAATTGCAAATTTTCGACGCGGACTCCCCTTCAAAACAAGAGCTTATATGGGCGCCAAAAGCGGCTTTAGTAAAATTTTAGGGTTGGTTGGCCTAAAATGGATTTCAAAAAAATATTACCAAAGGGGATGTCATAAAATATTACCTTAAATAAAACTTTAGGGTTGGTCCTCCTTAAATGGATGTCATAAAATATTACCTTTGGTTGGTGAGGGGGACGAATCTCTGAAAAAAACGTCCATAAAACACTCCCCCCCCCCTCCCCTAAATCCGCCCCTATGGTTAGGTGACATAAAGTTTCTTGTGATCAAAAGTAGCACTGTTAAATTGATTCTAATCCCAGGAAAAAATCATTGCGTTTTGACAGTGGCCATCAAAAAAAAGAGGTAGTTTAGAGAATAATTTTGCGCTAATTGATCCTTAACAAGCTTATCAAGTCGATATTTTTTTAAGAAAAACCTTTGAGTCGTATAAGGAAATGATAATACCCTTATTTGCCTCATTTCAGTTGGATCAATTTTTTGCGCGGGATAATACGTCAATCAAGAATACTTGGTGTTTAAGGAAAAATTTCAAGTTTTTTTCAATTTGAGCTCAGAGAGTCAAAAACAAGTTTTTTTCAATTTGAGCTCAGAGAGTCAAAAACTAAAAAAAAAGAAACAAACTTTTAAATCATGAAAATTATATACGTCTGAATACAAAAATCCCGAGCTAAACATTTCGTCATTTTGTTTGCAAAAAGTATAAAATTTTAGTGCTCGGCGTGCTTTTTTTAGGCTGTCAACAAAAATTTAACTTGCCTTTTTATACAAACTGTTTGATAATCATCTGATAAGTTTTGACAAGGTTGATATCAACTTCAGAAAAATGTTTGTTCAAACCCTTTGAAAAATGGGGAGCTTTGTATTCGGGTATAAATTTTTTTGTTCTTTCTTTGTTTTTCACGCAAAATCAGGTACCATAAAAAATCCTTGAAATGGGTCGAGTAATTTGTCATATTGAAGCCCTTTTAGTCGTAATAGTTCGAAATAACTTCTCCCAGTGTTGAAAAAAACTAGTTTGAAGTTTTTGGTCTAACTTCGAGCAAATAAAGCAAGTGAGCAGGCTTTAAGTAGTTTTATATGCTTACTTTGAGCCGTGAAAATTTAATTTTAGTCAATTAAAATTATTTTTTTTGGATTTTTTCAGCGCAAATTTTTGAATCAGAAATTTCAAAAATTCAAAAAAAAAAATCTGCGAAAAAGAAACTATTTTAACAAATTTTAAAAACTTTTTCTTGTATGTTTAAGACTATGGTCGGAACATTCTGTATTATTTGAACAACCGGCGGTCTTTGTTTTAGATGCGATTGTTTTTTGTAAATTTACTGTACTTAAAAAAATTAGGATAATTAATGCGCGATATAAGGTGTTTTCAATACTTCTTTTTTATGAATCCTCTCTGATTTCACAAAATTATGGGTAATTGAAATTATTTGATTTTGCAGAAGGCAGCGAACAGTTTGATGATTTTTTATTGAATTGGACGGTTTTTTGTTCACTCATGTTTTGGCAATTCAATGAGTTTTCAAAATTTTCTAATTAATTTTCAATGCATTTTGTGGTGAACAAGTTTTTATCGGGGCGGATTTAAAACAACCGGATAAAAAAATGCACTCGCTTTTTTTCTAAATTTGGTGTTTTTGGCCTAAAAATGATGAGGACGAGGACGAAACTTGCTTTAAATTTCACCAGCTTTTTGGTCTGAGAAGTTTCGAATCAAAAACACGCCTCTAAAATGGGTCGTTGCATTTGGTTCAAAACTAAGGAGTTAAATAAGGTCAACTGATGTAAGAACAATTTTGACCCTACGTACTGCAAAATAATCACTTCAATAACCCTAATATTTGTGAAATGAGAGAAGATTCAAAAAAAAAGTTTTCAAACACCCTGTATTTTAAGATGAGGCGGTGATATAATCAAACGGAAAACATGCTTGAAGTTGGCTTGACACAACGTATTTGGACTTAATAAAACGTTACTAGACGGTAAGCTTCTCACTTTGCACTTAACATAGCAAAGTGCGGGGTATTTTCAAAAAAAGCTATTAAAACGTGCAATTTTTTTTTGATATTTTGTCATTTTTGAAGAAATATATTCGAGTTTAATTTCTAGATTATAAAATGTTAATGGATCACTCAGGGCTTCGCCCCGATACAAGCAGTCTTGTTGACTAAGTGAAATGGATAGTGTCCCGCTTACGAGATTTTCATTGCTTACCATAAAGTAGAGATGAAACAGAGATTATTTCCGCCTTATGGAAAATGCGCTCAGTTTTCGGTGATTTAAAATTTTCTCTGCTCAAATAAATTTGTTTCGATCTAGTTGTATGAATATTGAGGCGTGACGGGAAATGTTCAAAGAGGCATTATATTATATTTTAATAACACTGAGAACCTTACGTAGGTCCGATTTTATTTTTCTAATTTACTGAGTTCGAACTTACCTTTGGATCGAAAAGAAGCCATGGTTTGTGATGTATTATTTGAAGCAGTCGATATCAATTGGCCGCACTCAACTATAAAACGTATCGGAGAAATTCTTTTCTAATTTAGCTCTAACAAATGGCTACAACAAAACGAAAAAAAGTGACTTTAATCGAAACCTCATCAAAAATTTGGACACGTAATTTGGGGTCCCCTGTTCTGTCCCATTTAGCACTTAAGGCAAAGAAGCTTCACAAAAACAAGTTGTAAAAGCACTGAAATAGAATTCGTTTGTGATATTTTAAAAATTGAATTTCAAAATTATATATCTTCTGTAAAAGCTGCAAATTATCGATTCCTAAAATGGTGTTTCATTTTTTGCACAAAAAAACTGACAAATAAAGGAAAGGCAAAAAAACAATAGAATACACTTTTTTTCTTAAATTACAGAAGGTATGGTAAGAAACTGTGTTCGGTATTGTTTTTAGGATTCTGTTTTGAATAGCGTAATAAACAGTCACGGGAACAATTAGGAAAGCGGTGACAAAGGACTTTTTCCCTTCAAATTAAACCAAGATTTGCCAATTAAGCCTGACAACATTCATTTTCAAAGACTAGCTAATCGGGTTCTTTCTTGCGAATTTTCACAAAATGAAAAAAAAACATGAAAAACGGTTCTAACCAATTACTTTAATTTTTCCACCTAAAATATTGAGCCATCATATAACAATAAAAAACTAGAACTTTACAGTACGAAACGGCTCTTTTTTGTCAAGTTATCTTAAAAACTGATACATGTTTTGAAATTCAAGGAAGTTTCAAGCAGTTTTCAGCAGAGCTTACCGAGTTATCCAATCAATAAAAGAGAATAAATAGAGTAAAATCTGGTTTGAAATTGGGTAAAAATGAAGACAGTTGTTTTAGATATGATTCAGACCACAAGACTAGCAGGTACTGATTAGCCAAAAATAGAACAAAAGGGCCAAAAACAAGTACAAATTGTAATGTAATTTTTTATTAACAGCAACTTCTGAATTAAGTCGATACTTGAGATTTATTTAAAACACACTTTTTTGTGTTGAAAAACGCCCTAATGCGTGTCTAATTCGAGTCTTGAGCGAGATTGCGAATTATAAGGAAATATGGTAGAATCAACAAGGAAAAAAGGAATGCGGACTAGTTCAACTATTCTCCCCCAGCTAGTATTTCAATATTTTCCCCCACTAATATCCCCCCCCCCCCCATTTCAAGAGAGGGGTTGTTTATTGAAGGTTTGGAAGTTTCTCTATGTTTTGACTTTAACTAAATGGCTATAAGACGTGCTTAAGGAGGGCAGATAAGATTACATTTCATTAATTCCCATCATAAGGATTGACTAAATTAGCTGAAAGAACGGAGGTATATCGCGCCAGCGTCTAATTGACATCATTAGTGTGACGTTTGCGTGTTCTGTATTTCCGACTATTACAGTTTAAAAATTTTCATCCTTTTTCAGACTGTTTCTAATGGACAAAACTTGTGCCTTTCAGTCCCAGTTTCTATGGTTGTGATATTCGGTTTTAAATTACATTCGATGCTGCTTGTTCCATATCATGACACTTTTTTGACCATGAGAGTCAAATGGTAATTGCAACTTAAAATTTCACGAAAAAAAGGGAGACCAATTAGTTGTAATAATTTTCAGGACCAACTTTTTCATGTCGGAAAGCAGAAAAAAATGTCCTATATCTCGGGCAAAAAATGCTCTTTTACCTTTTCTTGCTCTGACTTTTTCTAAAACTTTAGGTTAGAAGTTCAACCTTAGTCTAAATTGAAGTCCAACCCGTTTTTTATCGTTGCCCATTGTTATTATTTGGCAATATGGATCTACTTAACAATCTCCCCTTATTGTACCTACTAAAGAATCTCCCCCCCCCCCCCCTTTCTTGAAAGAGGGGGGAGATTCTTAAGTAGATCCGTTTATTCATATTTATTTTAAAAAAATTTTCTATTTTTTTTCATCAATTTTTTTTTGAAAACTGTGTGACTTCAGAGGTTGGTGAATAATATTTTTCAAAGCAGAGACAAAATTCGAACATGAATATGATTGTAAGCATGACTAATACTAATTGTTTTCGTATTTTTTAAATATTTTAATTGCTACGCTATGTAAGTGGCCTTCACGACCCTGGTTGGTTCCTGCCGGGTCCTGGGCCCTGGATTACTTAAGTACTGATTTGATCTTCTCGGAATTTTTTTGAATTAAATGGTCGGGGTTTTTTTTTATTTGCGAAAACCATTGATCATTATAGCTGATCAATGGTTTTCGCAAATAAAAAAAAACATTTATTAGATTTGAAACATTAACTTTTGTGCACCTCTAGAAAAATTCTATGATTGATTAGTCAAAAATGGATGTCATAAAAATCTTACAGGGTGACTTTTGGTCGGCGAGGTGATGGAATTTTCAAAAGGGGAGGGAATTTTCAACTAATTAGGGACCATGTTTGCTGTTTCACTTTTAAATTTAATTTTCTTAGTGCTTTCTCACTTTCTAGATGTGAATTGGACTACGCATCCTACCCAGACCCCGAAATTGGCTGTTTGTCTTATTCACTACCCAACATGTGCTTTTCGTCTTAAGCACCACTCGAATTGGGCTGATCGGCATACATGCTGAAATTGATATTCAAACAAGACTGCTCGTATCAGGGCGAAGCCCTGAGTGTTCCGACTGCCTTTTAAGGTTTATGGAGCAGTAATAACATTAAAGAATTCAATGAAATAAAACAAAATGAAAAAAAAAATTTTCTAAAATTTGAATTTTTTTTTGTAAAAATCATCCACCCACACGTCATATAAAGTACAAAAGAATAGATTTCGCTCCTTGTAACAAACCAATTATGACAAATAGGCTTCTTTTAACCAATTTGGAACGATTTCTAAGATGGATTAACTCTCCGCTTACGCGTTAATAACGCGAATTATATCGCGCGTTAATTGTCCCAAATTGTCAAATAAGCCAAAATGGCAATCTTTAAACCCTCATAACTTTACGAAAAAAAATCACAGGTGAAATATCTTCTCAAATTTAAGCTCAGGACAACAATACCTTTTGAATGATATAAAAAAATTCCGTCAAAAAAGGCTTAGTTAAAAGGTCGAAATTTGTCTGAAAAAAAAAACCCACCCCGAGCACAAATATTCCGTTACTTTCGTATCGAAATTCGGAACAATAAACAAATTTGAGAATGTCGAAATGCTATAGCGTTGTTCATATTATTTTTCATCATTCATTTGAATAGTTCAAATTTATTTATTGTTCCGACTTTCGGTACGAAAGTAACGGAATATTTGTGCTCGGGGTGGGGTTTTTTTTTCTTCAGACAAATTTCGACTTTTTAACTAGCCATTTTTGACCAAAATTTTTATATCATTCGAAAGGTATTGTTGTCCTGAGCTTAAATTTGAAAAGATATTTCACCTGTGATCATTTTTCGTAAAGTTATGAGGGTTTAAAGATTGCCATTTTGGCCATTTTGACCAATTTGGGACAATTAGCGCGCGATATATTTTCGCTCTATTAACGCGTAAGCGGAGAGTTAATACGTCTTAGAAATCGTTCCAAATTGGTTGAAAGAAGCTTATTTGCCATAATTGATTTGTAACAAGGAGCGAAATCTATCCTTTTGTACTCAATATGGCGTGTGGGGGGATAATTTTTATTTAAAAAATTCAAATTTTAGAAAAAAAAATTTTCATTATTTTTTTTTCATTTAATTTCTTAAATGTTATTACTGCTCCATAAACATTAAAAGGCGGTCGGAACATTCAGGGCTTCGCCCTGGTACGAGCAGTCTTGTTGTTTTGTATATTTACTTTGTTGCATGCTTATTTCAAAATAAGTACTGTGAAATAAGTAATTCTTAATATTAAGCAAACAGTTAGCTTTTCGAGGAATTTATTTTGAAGAAAACTTGGGTTATAATTGATTATAACTGATTATAAGAGATTTGAATTTGAAAAAAAAATTGATTTTTTGAAGAGAAAAATGAATTATAATAGATTAAAATAGATTATAATGAACTTATAATTTTCAAAAATAGTTGATTATACTGGATTAAAATTCCATTATATGTTATAAATTTGCCACGATAATCGATGACATAGATAACATTATAGTCAATAAAAAACATTGTTGCAAAAAAAAACATGAAAATTCGGTTCGGGTGTAAATTTTAAAAAAAATTGGAAGTCCATCAAAGGTTTAAAACTGATGTAAAAAGCGGTCAAGGTAATTTTCACATTTAATAGTAACTAATGAAAGCTTTCTGCAAATTATGTAAGTTCTTTTTACTCACTATTTGGCTTGCAATCCTGTCGGCTTGATGTGTGGTACCCAAATTTAGCGACAACCAATACGATGTTTGGTTCACATGTCTTGTACCAATTCAATTTGTTCTGATTTTTATAGTGAAAAAAATGATCGCTGCGCCGATTTTTTAAAAAGCAGAAGTTTTTGAGCAGACTGATTATGTCTAGTTAGTCAATAGCAGCTTAAAAATCTAGAAAAACGCAATTTGTAACAAAAAAAAATCAGCTCTTTCGTTAAGATTCTGCAGATGGTTTATGTGTAAAAAAAGTGTCGAATTTTTAAAAAAAATTGGACACATTTTATTTTAAATTGGCTGCTCTTGTTTTTAATGGTCTTCTTTGTCTCGAAGTTTCTAAAGGCATCAAAATACCTAAGTTACTGTTTGTTTATGGGTCAAGATTTTATTCTTGAAATCAAAAGAAGCTGTAACTTAATTCTTCATTTTAAGAATTTGGTAAACAAAGAAGATGATTAAGAACAAGCGCAACAAAGAGAATGAACAACCACAGAATTATGTGAAAAAAAATCTAAAATGTGAATAAACAACAACGGGTTTATGTGAAAAATGAAAAAAAAGAATACAAATAAGCGTAAAATAACAAAGTTTAGCAGCTTTGGCTGGAAATGAATCAATGAGAAAAGTGACTCTCATCCACTTTTTTAAACTAGTTTAAAATGTCAAACCCATTATCAATATAATATATCTCTTGACTTGATCTGACCCATATTTTTGCGCAGAAAAATAAGAAAGACACACGCGTGCAAAATTTTCTGCCACTTTCAAAAATTTTTATTCAATTATTAAGGAACAATTATTAAGTAATAGGCTGTTTAGGGGCTGAAACTTTTGCGGAGAACTGAAAAAAAAAAGTTCAAACTCATACGCTTTACCCGAATGACCTCAATAATTCTAGAAATTCTTACAACAACAGTATTGTTCTTGTCGTCAAATTAACAAATGGGCTCTTTCTAATTTTATGCAATAAGCATTTTTCACGGAGGAAAGAGTTTAACAGTTTAGTTGAGATATACACGGGAAAGTGATGATAAACCTATGACAATAACTTCATTTGTTCCAAGTGAGTTGAAAGATAAATATGCAAATTGAACCGCCTCAGTGCATCATAAAATCAGTCAGTTTTGAAGGGATGTGTAATGAAAAAATATTGCAGCTGATTTCTACCTGTCAGGCATGATTGATGGGAAAACCCACGTTCAGTTTCAAGCATTACTATTCGATTATTTCATGATTCTAGTACCTGTCTTTCTAACATTGAGAAAAGTTTTATAATATCAAACTAAAGATTGATTATAATCTGGGACCGATCGTTTATTAGCAGAACCATCTTTTAGCGTAAAAAATGAAAAATGAGTCTTTTAGCAGACCAACAAAATAAAGTGATGGATGATTCTTGACAGACTCAAAAAGACGCTCAGTCTGGGGCCAAGCTTCCCCAATTAAGTCAATTATCTGACGATTTGTCCACAAAACTATCAGCTTCAAAAACACAACAGTCTAATTAGCGGCAACAAAGATTTACGCGCACAAAAACACTTATGTTGAATTGAAGCGCAGCGGAGCAAGCGGTCGCTAATTGCCAATGCCGCGTTTGAATTTAGCTATCATACTTTATAATTGTTCTGAGTCTGCTAAAAAGCCGTTCTGCTAAAAAAGCGGTCTGCTATAATCCCTAGCACCATCATAATCTTTCTTCTTCCGTGGAGAAACAAATCAATTATTAGATCGATTTATAAAACTAAACAAAACTGCTCACATCAGGAGAAGCCCTGAATGTCACGATTGCCT